AAAGTGGACAATATCATATTATTGTGTAAATTCGTGATTCCTAACTATTATTTGATACGATCGGCAAAAAAAAATTAAATTTTTTAATTTTGATATAGTTTAATAGTAACATTAAACTTAACGTGACAACTATTTCATACTTAATTAAGCCATAAAAACAAAATTTTGAATTCGGGTGTAAATTAATAATACCTGGCGGAGACTTCTCCTCAAGCAAGCGGAAAGTTCCGAGGTGGGTCCTCACAATCTTCATCGCCTCCTTGACAAGTGCAAACGGATCATCGCCAGCGTGAAGATACAACACACTCCGAAACGTCGAACCAACAACTTTCGACGAGCCACTCTCAACACAAACATCGACAAAGTCGTCATCCCCGGGCTGAATCGATGTTCTAAACGGACCCTCGACGAGCGGAAGAAGGAGAACATACGGCCGGCCAGAATCCGACTTCTCAAGGATAACAATCTGAGTCTCGGATTCAAGGTCGCCACCATTCCGACCAACCCAATGCGTGGTCCACCAAACCTTAAACCTGAAGATACTCATAAACCGAATATCCTTCAGCTTCCCAATGGAAACGACATGTCGGCTATCAGGTTCCGACGCGTCGAATCCAACAAAGCAACCAACAGAAACCGGCGACTTGTCGATCGAAGTGTAGGGAGAAGGAGAAGCGACAATATTCTCCGGCACGTCAGACAGAAACAAATGTCCGTTCACAGTAAAATCCGACTTGTCGATGGAGAACGGACACGACATGTCGTTCAAACCATCATACGAAACGACGTCGTTGGAACCGCCATTTTTCAAACTGGGAGCCATTAAACCCAAAAACTAAAACAAGGGTTAGAAGGTCGGGGTGAAGAATAAGAGAAATGGAGAGGACTTTATAGAGAAGAATTGAAAAGAATTATCAAAGAATATGAGGGCTTTTTTGCAAATTACAGATTCTTGAGGATCGGAAAGGAAAAAGGGGAAATTTTGGTTGATTCTCTGTGAAAAAGCTTTGAGGCTAACAATGGTGGAAGGGAAGAGGAAGGGTTGGGGGTTTTATAGATATGGAGACCTGCGAAAAGGAAGGTTCGTGGGAACATGGGTTCGAGCTTTGACGTTGTCACTTTTTTTTTTGTTTTTATTTTTTAAAATAGTGAGTGAATACAAATTTAAATGTTTATTTAATATTATTAGGCGTGGGTTCAAAAAAGTGTATTTAAATAAATTATCCACATCGGATTGGACTGGTTTCTAAAAAAGAAAATTAATGGTACCTCTCCAACTTGTTTGGAAATTATTTTTTAAATAAAAAGTGTATTTGAATATTAAAAAAAAAACTCACTTTCATTCGGCATATTTTTATTTTTTAATATAATTTTTATTAAAAATGGTAAAACATGGTAATAATTCAAAAAAATATTTTAGAAGTAAAAATATATTTTTCAACTTAATTTCTAAAAACTAATATTTATTTATGGTTTGATTAATTGTCCGCTAACAAATATTATTCAATTTGTTCGTTCCGTATCGTCGTCAGTCTCACAGTTTTACAATGCGTGTGTTATGGAATGATTTCCATACCAACATTGTAAGAAATGTTTTATTATCATGTCCAACCAATGTGGGATCTCACAATCCACTCTCTTGAATACCAGTGTTCTCTTTGGTGCATAATTTGGTGTTTGGCTCGTTACGTATCATTAATATTGTCCGCTTTGGCTCGTTACTTATCATCGTCTACCTCATAGTTTTACAATGCGTCTGTTATAGACAGGTTTCTTGATTGTTATAAAATAGGTTTCTTTTTCCCTAAAACGAGGGCAAATACATGAAGTGGGCAGAGGCATTAATTAATATTACCTTATTTGAGGGCCAAATTTCCAAAGCTTTCTAGGGTTTTCCTCAAATAAATTTGAATTAATTTGGCATTAATTATCCAAATTTTATCTCTCTACCTCTCTCTCTCTCTCTCTCCTCTTTATTATCCCTCTTCTAGTTGACAAGAATTTCATATCTTCAAGAATATTCAATCATTTTCTTAAAGAATAAATAATTTCTTTTCAAGTTCATGTATGGAATTTTTCTTCAAACCTTTTTTATTTTTTAATGGACTTTTTATTTTATTTTCTTACCTTTTATTTATTTATTTATTTTTGCAAGGTGTATAGTCCCACCTCATGAAAAGGAAATTAAAAAATAAATAAATTTAATGATATGTTGCTAAAAAATAAAATAAAAATAAAAATAATAAAAAATCGTGGTTTAAACATCTCACTTTGTTAAATTTTAATAATTTTTTTTTATGATAGGAACTAAATTATTAAAATTTATAAAAAATAATAAATAAATTATCATTCATTAAATTTCAAAGACTAAATTATTATAAATTTAATAAATATGTACTAACTTATTATTGATTAATGTGGAGATAAATAATTATTTAAATTATATATCTGATAAAATAAATTAATCTGAATCCACTTGAGAAAGAAGGCCAACAAAATAAAATAAAAAATAAAAAATAAATATTCTTTTATTCAAAGCTTATGGTATTTTCTCGGGCCACAAGATACTATGGGCCCTTTCTTTTAGTTTAACGTTTTTTTTTTATTTTTCTTTTTTTTATTGTTCAAAACAAAAATTCATATACTGTGTGGGGCCCACCTTGTAAGACGACAGCCACGTGTCGTGCTTTTGGTCCATCCTCCACCGACCTCCTACTTTTCTCTCTTTTTTTAAATATAATAATAAACGACCAGGTTGCCACGTGGCATTCTTCTTTGGCAAGTAAACGACCCTGAAGCTTTGACACGTCACCGTTTTCTTTCAAAGAATATAAAATTTTGCTTTTCTTGGTTTACTTATATTATGACGTCACTTCAGAAATCTAAGTGGCTGGGAAAATTAAATTAAAAGGAAAAGAAAAATTGTGGGGGGAGCGGTTTTGATATAACTACTCGCGGGGGTTCAACTACCAAACGGACCAATTAGAAATGCCCGCGTGTGTGACAGTTGTTAGTTTCATGCGAGACAGCACGTGTTGTGTACACGTGGGAGTTCGTGATAGGATTTGTTTGGACTTCGTGTGTGTCGCACGTGCTTCAACGGAAGTTACCGACACCGACCTTTGAAATTTGAACTCCGACACTTGTTTCATTTCGACTTAATTGACGGTGAGTCCTACGAAATCTATATATTAATAAAAATAATTAATGCTGCCATATCTTTTACTTGACCAAATAAATAAATAAATAAATAATATTCTCCAGTTTTTTTATTTTTTTATTTTAGAATTATTGAGAGTGACACATTGGTTAATTTAATGGAACATAGATTTATAAGTGAGAAATACTATCTCCATTGGAATGAGACTTATTGGTAGCCCGAAACAAAGTCAGAAGAGCCAAGCTCTGAATGGACAATATCATACTATTATGGAGAGTCGTGATTCATAATATATATATAGATGGCTGAGTTATTATTATTTTGAAATGTATTATAAAATTCTAATTACCATTCCAAAAATTTCTTTAAAATTATTTGGTCGAATGCTACCTAAGTTGGATTGGTGAAATCTTCTGGACCAACTCAATTTCGGGTCAGTTGAATTTGTGACCCAAATAAAGTTTACAATTCCACCGAGCTCAATCCAACCATTTATTTTTCTTGGATCAGGGGTTGGATTATTCTTATTTTTTTATTTCGTAAAAAATCTTACTTATCCACAATATACGTACATTACTGACTAAAATTTCACAAAACTAAAATATCAAACATTTACAGGTCTTAATGTATCACTAACATTAGTTACAAACATCAAGCATTTTTAATTTTCATAATAATCTTAAAAACAAGGTAAGATAGGATTGGATTTTAACTCTATTTTTGGACTTATCCGATAATGAAGTAACATAAATTTTTTATTTAAAAAAAAATTAACTTGTAAAAAATAAAATAAGATTGGCACCCAATTTTGATGATATTTTTCACCATACATTAAATTTGTTTACATTAACCAAATTATTAAATACTTAAATTTATGAACTAAGTTTTCAGAATTAAAAAATAAATAAATTATTATAAATTAAAGTCGGGGTTCATGACTAAGAGCATTGTATTATTTAAAATTAAATTGATTAAATTTTTAAAGGTATAAAGAGTAAATATATGGTTTAAAAATTAATTTTTTAATACTAATTTTGTATATTATCATATAATTAAAAATAAATAAAAATAATAATAATGAGATTTGAATCTTGAATGAACGTAAAGTTTCTAGATTTTGTATTTGGATTATAATTATCTCTTTACGAAACACGTTCCATTATTAAATTAATTGCAATGGAGTCAATACGTCATCTGCCGACGTGTTTGAAAACAAGGCGACACGTGTCATTATCCAGCTAAAGCCACCAAACAAATGCTTCCTTTATTATGACACCACAAACACTCTTTCCCTAATTGAGCGGCAATTACGTGGCTCTAGTGTTGACGTGTCACTAGCATATTAATTTCGGGACCTTACAATTAGGATGAATTATATAAAATTATTTTAAAGATGTCATAAACTCTCAAATTTTAGAAAATTTCCATTAATAATTTTAAAAAAGATAAATATAAATATAGAAAAAGTCATTTCATTCGGTCAAATCAACCAATTTGGTCGGTGTTATTTGATTAAAGCTTTTTTTTTTTTTAATCAAATATCCAACAATTTATTTATTTTAATTTTTTGAAATAAAAAAATGGGATTTATTTTTAAATTAAAATATGATAAACTACCATTTTATATTTGAGTATTTTTAGATAAAATTATTAATTTTGGGCTTTTTCTTTTTTAGGACTGAAATCCAGATGGCAATTCAATTCTTCAGCTGAACGACATGTCGGCAAGCTGTGCAAAGCAAGTGTAAAATAAGCTCGCACGTGTCGGCCATGCATGCCTCTTTTGTTTACACACCCATATATTAATTAAATTTCAGTCATTTATTTTCTGCAAAAAAATTTCATTTCTTCATTTTCGCAGTGCAATCTTCTATACAGGTTAGGTTTTTTTTTTTTTTTTTTTTTTTTTTTTTTTTTTTTTTTTTTTTTTTTTTTTTTTTTTTT